TAGTAACACCATCTCTGAGCATGTGCCAGCTTGTGACACTGGAAAAACTATGTTACCTCTCTGTGGCTTACTTTCCTGATGTGCTAAATGATAAGAATTAAACACATGAAATTGTTGCAAACTTGAAATGCAATAATGTATATTACATGATGAACTTCTGACCCTTTAGAAGTTCACAATGCTTACTTAGCTTTAAAAGTAGTCACAGAAAGATTAGTTAGTGTAGTGAAATGTGCATTGTTATATAATTTATTTCTCAAAGCAATCCTCTAAAATGAGTACTATTCCCATATAAGAAGAGGGCACCAAAGCCTAAAGTGATATGTATTCTTCTTGTGCATTTATAAAGAGTAGAATTCGAAACAATATAAACAGTATGAGTCAATAATTTTTAGTGTATCGAATTCTAGGTGAAATTTTCATTTCATATTCATATTTATGAATTGTGTAAGCTATATATTTATAATGAACAATACTGTGAGTCATCATTGCTTCTACCCTTTTAAATCTTTTCTTCTCTTCCTCCTTTTACAAGATTATGCATTGCTGTGAGCTTGGATATATTGGAGGCAGAAACAGAGAAGAAGGGCAGAGTTTTTCTCCAAAAGAACCTCAAAGTCGGATGGAGGACTGAACATTTGTAATATACACAAATGACCAGGGTACAATGTATCTGGGAATCCTGCAACTTTTTCTCATATAAAAACAAAATTAAGTCTAAAGCAATAAAAAATATGCCCCCTACTTCCATCTCATTCTAGCTGCAGACATATTGTCTGAAAATACGAGACATTTGATATTAATAATATTATTCAAATGTTTCCACCTTCTGTTGGGTCACTTTCATTGGAATGGCACAAATATGAACATTTGTTCGTTTGGTTGGCCCGGTAGCTCTCTTTCAAACAGCTGGGCAGAGACAAGTTAGTGCTTCCAGCCCTGCATCAGATTTTTGAAATATTTCACTTGGGATACCATCAGTTCTTGAACCTTGCTTTTCAGCAATGCCTTCAGTGAATTAGACTCCTATCGATACCATCGGTTCTTGATACATCTGGATGTGTTACATCCAGAAGTGGTTGAACGTCAACTGATTCTTTTTTGGTGTAATGGCTCTGTGCATTCTTTCCATCTGTTTGATGCTCCCTACGTTGTTCAATAGTTTGCCCATAGAATTCTTCAACATTGCAGATTGCGTTTTGCATTTTTCATCGGTTTTCTCAGCTTTAAACATGC